TTTTATTACAATCATTATTTTTATAGCTTCTTAGCATACATAATTGTATTCTAAAACTCGTCTGGTTGCAAAAAAATAACGTCTGCGCAGATCTATTGCGCATATTAGGTTTTTTTTTAAATTTTTGCCTTATAAATATAATGAAAAAACTAGTTCAAAACTTGCTTCTATGTAATTTAAAAAATTATTTATCAATGATTTTAAGCACTTTCGAAAACAAAAGAATACGTAAAAATACTATAAACAGTTTCTGCGCAGATCTACGGCACAGATAGAATATTTCTGAATATTGCATTCTAAACATAATTTCCAAGTTGAAAAATTGTAATAATACTTAAAAATTGTATTTAGTAGTTATTTTCTACAGAAAATTGAAATAAAATCACTAACATGCGCAATAGATCTGCGCAGAATGCTTCTGTTTTTTGCGCGCAGATCTACGGCATTTGTGAATTCTACGCATGTACAATAGAGTATCGAAACTTTTATTAAGAAACAGTAATATTATGAAACACTTGTGGAAGCAAAATGACAAAAAAAATCGTTTTTTCTGCTTCTGCGCAGATCTATTGCGCATATCGAGTACTTTAAATGGATGTTATTTTAAAATCGTAATGGATAATTTAAAAATTCTTTTAATGAAGTAATAGTAGTTGACATTTTTAGTCAATTGTGAAGGAAAATCTGTTTAAAATGATAAACGTGCGCAATAGATCTGCGCAAAATTTCTAATAACTTTTTATTTATGCGCAAAAGTAATCAGTGGATTGTACGAATGAGCAATAATGTTTATTAATTTCTACGACTGCGCAATAGTATTTTTCAACTTCTACGGTTAAGCAATAATGTTTTACAACTTCTGCGTCTGCGCAATAGTGTTTTTTTTAAAGATCAACGGATGCGCATTAGTGTTTTTTAACTTATATGGCTGCGCAATATATTTTTTTTAATTTCTGCGTATGCGCAATAGTATTTTTCAACTTCTACGGATGCGCAAAAGTGTTTTTTTTTTTTTTTATTTTAAAACGACAATATTGAGAATATTTTATAAATTCATAGCTGTATTCTATTACTTATGTGAATACACAATTTTCTTCCCATGAGAAAAAAAATTTGTCTTAACAAAAAAATTTTTAAAAAAATTTTATCTAACTCAAAAAAATATGCTAATTGGCAAAAATTTAAAAATTAAAAAAATAACTGTCAGAATATTAAAACACAAGAAAAATATTTAGAAAATATTAGAATTGTCTAAATTCAAAAAAAAAAAAAAAAAAAAAAAATTAGTATACAATTTAAATAAATTGAAATTCACCAAAATTAGAGAAGAATAGATTATAAAATATAATTTAAAAGACGTGAAATTCAATATATATATATATACAGTTGATGAATATATGCAAATGACGATATAACCGGAAATGTTGAAATCCTTGAAAGGGTGGTTATAGGAGAATCTGTTTCGTTTTTTTTTTCATTCATTCTTTCTAATTTTTTTTTTTCTTTAAATGTCTTGTCGCGTTTCATAAATACTCGCGGATATTTTTGAGCGTACTTCCGACAACTTTGACTGTCGCACTTTCTGTGAATCTAAAACCCGTTATGCCGCGGCAATGTCGCCGACAGTAACAACGATCGTAAAGAACGAATCGAATTATTTCCTAGCACGACATTGTCTGTGCGAGGAGGACAACGACGGCGGCATTTGATAGTTCTAAATAAAATCGTGTGGTATCCGCGAATAACGAAAACTTAAAAAAAAAAGACAGTTGCTCATATTAATTTCCGCAAATTCAATTTAATATTTTATATATATATATATATATGTATTAACAAGAAAGTTGCGTGTTTAATTTTCTTTTAATTTAGAATTATATTATGCAATTTTAGAGTAAAAAAAAGGGCAAAAATTTTAGGTAACGCTATCATGGACACCCAACAATTCTCCAACTTTAATATTTTTGCTTAACCTGGAAATTTTTACGTTATACACCTAGAGAAATTGTTCAATTGAACTAAATATAATATATATTTGAGTTAAATAAACGTCTATTTTTCTCAGAGCCAATTTTAGCCCATTTATTTGGTGTTAATATATTTTTTTTAATTAAATTAAATAAATATTTATTTAAATCAAATAAATATTTATTTGTCTCTCAGACAAATATATCATTTCTCTGGATGTACATGTATCTTTCACTCGATGTAAAAATTTAAATTCAAAAAAAAAAGAAAATAATAATAATAATAGGTAATAATAATAATAAATAAAAATAATAATATATAATAATAACAATAATAATAGCAAACAATAAAAAATAATATTAATAAAATAATAATAATAATAAAAATAAAAGTAATAAATGTTTTTGAAAAATAAGTGCATGTAACTACTGTTAATAAAAAAAAAAATTATTTATATTTCTGACCTTAGTCTGCAACCGATGAATCATATTTTGGACCACAAAAAATGTAGCGGAAGCACAGACGGTTAAAAAAAAAAAAAAAAAAAAAAATTCAAACACTCCGGAAATCAATAAATTAAGAAACAAAATAATTTTCTTTCTGAAGATTTAATCCTTCGCGCGATTTTTAGAAATTCAAACTTTTCCGGAATAAAAAAAAAATTTACTAAAATTATTGTAAAAAGAAAACAATTTTTAAAATTTTTGCACTCACATCATGGTAAACGTCTAAACAGGTCAATACACAAATTTAAAACTGATTTGATATTATCTTTGAGATTTTACAAAACCCTAATTATTTTTATGACCCTCGACGACCTAAGGTATCCTTTGTATAAGTATATATGTAAATAAACATTTCCAGAGATGCAGGTATAAAGAAACAAAATTTTAAAACTCACTTTCCAAATATTTAAAAATACACATACATATTTTCGGTTTTAAATTATTATTCAATTTGGAAAGAAATTTTTACTTATATGAGACCTTTCAGAGTTGCTAACTACGAATTTGATATTAAATTCGTAATCAGCAACCTTGAAAAACTCCCGGGTAACAATTTTCAAGCGAATTCGATCAATTTTTGAAAAATTTTCCTCCATATTGTGTTCGCCACTTTGTATTTTTAAAATCTGATGCCAAATTCGTATTTAGCGACCCTAAAAACCCCCGAGTAAGAAGATTCAGCCAAATTTAGTGAATTTTAAATATTTTCGACCGCCATATTGAATTCGACATTTTGTATTTTTAAAATCTGATGCCAAATTCGTATTTAGCGACCCCAAAAACCCCCGAGTGACAAGTTTCAAGTGATTTTTGTGAATTTTTAAAATTTATGACCGCCATATTGAATGCGCCATTTTGTTTTTTGAAAATCTAACATCGGATTCGTAATCAGCAACCCCAAAAACCCCTGAGTAACAAAATTCAGGTGAATGTAGTGAATTTAAAAATTTTTTGTCGCCATATTGGATCCGCCATTTTGAATTTTGAAAATCTACCATTAGATTCGTAATCAGCGACCCCGAAAACCCCCGAGTAGCAAAATTCAGGTTAATCTGGTGAATTTAAAATTTTTTCGTCTGCCATATTGTATCCGCCATTTTGTATTATTAGAATCTGATGTCAAATTCGTATTCAGCGACCCCAAAAACCTCCCGAGTGACAAGTTACAAGTAAATTGACTGAAGTTTGTAAAAATCAGTCGCCATTTTGATTTTTCAAGATCCATCAATTCATAATAATTGTATTCGGGTATTTCCGGAATTACCCGAATACAAATCGATAAATAGATCTTCAAAAATTAAAAGGGGCGAAAACTTTTACAAACTTTATCCAATTCGTCTGAATTTTTTTACTCGGGGGTTTTCGGAGTCGCTGAACACGAATCCGATGTTAGATTTTCAAAATTCAATATGGCGGATGCAATATGGCGGAAGGAAAAAATTTAGAATTAACCAAATTCGCCTGAAACTTGTTACTCGGGGGTTTTTGGGGTAGCTGATTACGAATTTGAAATCTGTTTTCAAAAATTCAAAATGGCGGATTCAATATGGGGGACAAATTTCTAAAAAAATTCATTAGAATCGTTTGAAAATTGTTACTCGGGGGTTTTTGGGGTCGCTGAATACGAATCTGATGATTATTTCAAAATTCAAAATGGCGGATCCAATATGGCGGATAAAAAAAGTAAAAAATTGCTCGGATTCGTTTGGAACTCGTTACTTGGGGGTTTTTGCGGTCGCGGAATACGAATTCATTGCTTATTAAAAAAAGTTCAAAATGGCAGATCCAATGTGGCGAATGAAAAAAAAATTTTGATTGATCAGATTGGTTTGGAACTCGTTACTCAGGGGTTTTTGGGGTCGGTGGACACGAATCTGATGTTTATTTCAAAATTCAAAATGGCGGCTCCAATATGGCGGATAAAAAAAAGTAAAAAATTACTCGGATTCGTTTGGAACTCGTTACTTGGGGGTTTTTGCGGTCGCTGAATACGAATTTAATGTTTATTTAAAAAGTTCAAAATGGCGGATCCAATATGGCGGATAAAAAAAAGTAAAAAAATTGCTCGAAATCGTTTGGAACTCGTTACTCGGGGTTTTTGCGGTCGCTGAATACGAATTTAATGCTTATTTAAAAATTCAAAATGGCGGATCCAATGTGGCGGATGAAAACAAATTTTTGATTGATCAGATTGGTTTGGAACTCGTTACTTATGGGTTTTTGGGGTCACTGAACACGAATCTGATGTTTATTTCAAAATTCAAAATGGCGGATCCAATATGGCGGATAAAAAAAGTAAAAACTTGCTCGAATTCGTTTGGAACTTGTTACTCGGTGTATTTTGGGGTCGCTGAACACGAATTTGAGGTTTGATTAACAAAATTCTAAATGGTACAAGTAATTTAATAAATAATTCTCAAATTCTTTTTTCAGTTTCTTATCTGTGTTTTAGATTTACGGATTACAGTTAATAATATTAAAATTTCTACTCAATGATCAAAAAAATAATTTTTGTTTTTTCTTACTCACCTCTTCGTGATACCATCTCTGCTGTAGTATAGCCCAACATCTTCGACAATGACAAACTTCTTTTTCATGTTTATCCTTATCACGTTCTTTATCGCGACTTGTCAATTGTGGCGGTGGTGGTGGTGGCACTGGTGGTGGTAGTGGACTTGTTGCAACTTCAAGACTATCAGAACTTGAATTATGCCTCCTTGGCGGTGTTATATTTGTATGATTACGTTGACTTGAATTATTATTATTATTACTACCACTACTACTATTACTATTATTATTACTATTATTATTATTATTATTGGTTGATGTTTGTTTAACATTATCACTTGATCTCGTTGTTGTTTGATCATTTCGTGAATAAGGCGATGTAAGACAATTATTTAATGAACATTTGGTTAATGTTGGTTGTGGTTGTGGTTTTAAAAAATCATCCAAAAGATAAAAACTTTGTGCTCTATTTGAACGTGTACTATTTGTTCGTGTTTCTAAAATTCCATCATTTTTTGTTTCTGTATCAAGATGACGTATCATCCAATCATCATCATCACCACCACCACCACTACGTTTTTCATCTTGAAATAAACGTCGTCCAACTTTTAATTTTCTATTATTTGATAGGGCAAATTCACCTTTTTCACGATATTGTGATTTTGAAATAACTCTCGCTGAATAACATGTTGGTTGATTATGATTATTATTACTAGTTGAACGTGAATTAGTTTCAATTGTTGATGTACTCATTAATGAATCACGATTTAAATCACCATTCTCAATCATTGATGCACTTGCATTGTGATAGAAAAATGTTTGACTTGAACGCGATTGTGAATCATTATTACCAGCTGGTGTTCTTAATAATGCGCCAAGTGATCGCCATTTACGATCTTGATTTGAACAACCATTATTCCATTTTGCCTCTGGTGAATTTATTGCTGAATTCACTGACCATTTACGTTCTTTATTTTGTGACCATTTTCTTTCTGATGATGATGATGATGATGTTAAATTTGGTTCCTCACGTTGTTTTGTCTTCCACCATGATGATGTTGACGCTGTAAATAGAACGAGTGCACCTTTCAATGGATTTTGATGATTTTTTGATGATGACGATGATGATAATGATTCACGATTTTTTTCATCACGATAACTTTCGGAATTGATTAAATCACGTTCACTTGGTGAAATTTGTCGATCACGATCACGATGATGATGATGATGGTGATGATGATGATTATGATCGTCATCATGAAGAAGAATTGCATTTGTACTATGTAATCTTGGCCTAATTCGTACAAATCCATAATCATTTGAATCAATATAGGGATGTTCGTTAACATGATTGGTGACGTCTCTATTATTTCTTGAATCATTGGAATAGGTGATTTGTGTTTGATGATGAGGTAATGAACTCAAACCACTGTATTGATGTGTACTTAATTGTAAACATGGTTGCTGTGGTAGTGTTGATGTTCGATTACGATGATGATTTTCACTTGAACCTCTTTGTAAACAGGAAAAACTCGCCGAATGACGTAGGCTCGATGGTGGATTACTAGGTTGACTAACACCCAACATTTTGAAAGGATGAAAATTTTTCACCTTTTTAAGTCTCCTTTTTTTATGTATCTACTTCTTTAAAAATCTTCTTTTTAAAATTCAAAATAGCAATGACTCTTCAGTCTTTAACGGTACGTCTTTTGAACTTGTTCTGCTAGACATTTTTTTAAGAGCTTCAGAACTGCCTCTAAGATCTGTAACATAAAGAAAGGACAAGGATAGGGACTTAGCAACGTAAAAATAAAAAACAATGACTTAAAAATAAAATTTAAAAATCAAAAATTCATTAAGAAAAATTAATTTAATGCTGAAAACTTAGCCTATAATGATAAATATATATATATATATATATACTTGTGATAGTTTTGTGGTAGTCTTGTGATAAAGCGCTTGAAAAATTATTTACGTAAAAAGCTTGGGAGGGATTTAAAACAAAATTTATTGAAAAAAAAGTAAAGAATTCTGGTGTTTTTTTTATGAAAACCACGAAACTAAACGGGTTCAAGGTTAAACAGTGCTGGTTCATATATCGAGAGTGGTGATGAAAAAAATTAACTGCGCAGCATTAAAGCCTAAAGAGTGCTACTGCGCAGCGATAATAGTTTTTCGACTTCTACGCAGATCTATCGCGCATCTTATGCGCAGTACCGTAGATCAGCTTGTAACGATGCGCAAAAGCGATTTTAAATTTCTACAGTGAAAATGCCTTTCGATAAATAAAGAACTGAAGAAAATTACCAAAAAAAACACGAGAAATTTTATTAAAGAAAAAAAATAGTTCTACCAAAAAACAGAAGTATTCTACTGTTTGAATAAATAAATTTTTTCTACTTTCAGTACTTTTCGAATACTAAAAACGTAGCCTTTATTTATTTTATGACAAATGAGCAGAAAAATAAAATAAGCCCTTTCGTACATACTGTTCTAATTTAAAAAATTTTTTTGCATACTGAAAACTTAGCCCAACGATAAATACTTGTGATAGTTTTGTGATAAAGCTCCCGGAGAATCAGTGCAGTTACCTAAAAAGCTTGGGAGGGATTTAAAACAAAATTAATCGAAATAAAATCGGACTAGTTCCTTCTTTTTTGAAAAACACGAAACCAAACGGCTCCAAGGTAAACAGTGCTGGTTTATAGATTGTAAGTGATGAGAAAAAACTTTACTGCGCAGCTTTAAAGCCTAAAGAGCCCTACTGCGCAGCAATAATAGTTTTCAATTTCTGCGCAGATCTATCGCGCACCTCATGCGCAATACCGTACATCAGCTTGTATCGATGCGCAAAAGCAATTTTCCGTTTCTACATTAAAAAAGCCTATCGATAAATAATGAACTAAAGAAAATTAACGATAAAAAAGCACGAGTTTTGCTAAAACTGAAAAAAAAAAATATTTCTACCAAAATGAGAAACAGGTTGTTCTACTGTTTGAAATAATATATATATCACGAAACACTTACCTCGGCTTAAATCCACTTTTCTAATTGGCCGAGTCTAGACGCTAATTAACTTTAATTATGAATTAAAATTAGCAAACTGCCCGCACTGTCTGGAGGTCAACAGTGCAGAACACGAGGGACACGATGAGGTTAAAAAAATTTTTTTTTTTTGTTCTCCAGCACTTTTAGAGAAAAATTAAATCTGTATCGAAAATTCTAAATTCCATTATTAAAAATTAAAAATGAAATATGGAATGAAAAAAAAAGATGTGAATAAACGGGTCAGAGTTTTTGAAAAATTAACCATTTGCCTATAAGGCGAATTTATTGGCCTATCCTCATTATTATATACCATGTCGTTATTGTTGCACAAGCCCCAATGGATTTCGCAATAATAAGGTGAACTTTTAAAGCCTGCGAACGGCCTTGCCTTTTTGCATATACATATATATATATATATATATATATATATATATATATGTATACACATAACGTATGTGGGTGTCACTTACGTATTATATCTGCCTTGAAAACCTTTTACCATTTTGCACCTACATATAGACAAGAACTAGACGGGTTTACCAGGTGCTGCCATAAAATGAGAAAGCAATCACGATTTCAAATCAACCTCAAAAAATTCAATTCCTATTCAATATTAAAAAAAAAAAAAAAATTTCGCATTCCGCCATCAAAGAATTTGTCTCTTTCAAAAAATTTTTTTCTTTTTGGAACGAAAAGTAGCGAAATAATTCCAAAGGGAGGCGTAGGCATTAATCGTGAAATTATTCGCGCAGGCGAGGGATAATTACATTTGGTTATACATATAGGGAAATAATAAGTATAACCCTTATCGGTTGGGAATCGTAAATAATTATATTCTGGATGAATGGTTGTGAGGGTTCAAAAAAAAAAAAAAAAAAAAAAATACTGCCCGATATCGAGACTATATGTACTAATCTGCCGGGGGCGAAAATCCCTGTATTTAAGTGCGATGCCTCAAAGACCAGTTAAGTGTCCGGCAATCATGATAATATACGTGAAATTCATCGACGTTCCGTGTCCACGCCTTCTTTATATCCGATATCATTCATATAAGTAAGAAAAAAAAGAAAAACACAATTATTTTTTCTTAACTCACTCCCCTCTACGAAAAAAAATATGACAATTTTATTTAAATTTCGTTTTTTTATTTTTATACTGTTAGAGATTTTTTGCGCATTTTTTTATGCTACAGGAAGCTACTGCGCAGGTATAATTTCTTTAGACTAGTTCTGCGCAGATCTATTGCGCAGATAAGAGGAAATTTTCATTAAAAAGCAAATGCATTGTTTAATGATACTGTTAGAGATTTATTGGACATTTTTTATGCTAATGGAAGCTACTGCGCAGCTATAATTGCTTTATAGTACTTCTGCGCAGATCTAATGCGCAGATAGCAAGACATTTTTAAGATAAAGCAAATTTATTAGGTAATTTTACACCGAGAGACTTTTTGCGCATTTTTTTATGCTAAGAAAAGCTACTGCGCAGCGATAATAGTTTTTCGACTTCTACGCAGATCTATTGCGCAGATAGCAAGAAATTCTTAGGAAAAAGCAAATTCAGTAGATATTTTTACTGTTAGAGACTTCATATGCATTTTATTTATGCTAAGAGAAAATTTATTTATGCTAAAAGGAGCTACAACGCAGTTTAAAATGCTTTAGAGTGCTTCTGCGCAGATCTAACGCACAGACAGCAAGAAATTCTTAAGAAAAAAGCGAATTCATTGAGTGTTTTTACTGTTTGAGACTTGTTTCGCATTTTATTATGCTAAGAGAATGTACTGCGCAGCTAAAATTGCTTTTTACAGCTTCTGCGCAGGTCTATCGCGCAGATTGTGTATTTTCTGCTTGTAATGGTGTTTTACAGCTTTCAATTATGAGCAATAAGTGTAAAATTAATTATTTAAGAATTTTGTGTCACATTATGTGGAATAAAATCGAAAATAGATCAACAATGCGCAGTAGATCTGCGCAAGAGCGAAAATAGTTTTTATATAAGTGTATTTCTACATAAAACGCATTGTTTACGGAATTTATGTATTTATAGAGTGTTCATTATTAACGAAAAATCAAACTATTTAATTAATTATGCGCAATAGATCTGCGCAGAACGAAAATATTATATATGTAACAATGATTTTTGCAATTTTTTGCATGCGAAAAATATTCTACTAATATTTATCTTCAATTGATGCGCAAAAGTTATTTTCAGTTTCTAGTTATAGACACTAGTGTTTTACAGTTTCTGCCAATGCGCAGTAGATCTTTTTAACTTCTAATGTTGCGCAATAGATTTTTTGAAGCTGCTATTTATGCGCACTAGTGTTTTACAGCTTCTACCTATGTGCAGTAGATCTTTTTTACTTCTACTGCTGCGCAATAGATTTTTGTAACTTCTATTTATGCGCACTAGTCTTTTACAGCATCTAACGATGCGCAGTAGATTATTTTAGCTTATATCTATGCACAGTAGAATTTTTCATCTTTTATCGATGCGCAGAAATACTTTTTAGCTGTTATTTATGCGCACTAGTGTTTTATAGCTTCTATCAATGAGCAGTAGATTATTTCACCTTCTACCGATGCGCAGTAGATTATTTTAGCTTCTATCGATGCGCAGTAGTAATTTTCAGCTTCTATTTATGCGCACTAGTGTTTTACAGCTTCTACTAATGCGCATAATTGGTTTTTAGCTTCTATACGTGCGCAGTAGAATTTTCCCCCTTTCTTTTATGCGCAGTAGTGATTTTTAGCTGCTATTAATGCGTAATAGTAGTAAAAAAAACACCAAACATGTATTTTAAAAATAAAACACAAATGTAGCAATTTTTTTTTATCAATCAATTGCGAGCACATAAATAATTTATTTTCACAAATTTAGATTCTCGTATGCGCGCCTCACATGAATACTTTTTTTTCACGGTTGCCTCCTCACAGCACACATATATAAATATATATATATATGTATCTCTGGAAAAAAAATTTCTAACGGCTAATACGCTCTGCTTAGCGGGGGATTTCTAAATCGCGGCTCGCGCCAGTTCTGCTTTAATTGGCTGATGTATTAACATCTTTTTTTTTTTTTTTTTTTTTAATTTATTAGAGAAAGCGCGTTAGTTATGAGCGATTAAAATTGTTCGTCATAAAGAAGAAGGGAATTTTCGAAATTGTGCACAATTTTCTTTCGATTAATGAGCTATTTGGCAATATTTGTATATAAATACAATATAAGAGATTAAAAAAAAATTTTAACGGGAAATTATTTTACATAAGTTTTTATAATGAAAATTCATCGATATAATTTTTTTTTTCACTTTCGTCTGTCGTAATTTTTGCACACTTATGTAATGAAAAAAAAAATTTTCTGCAATTAGATTTGCAATAATTAAAAGTGAATTTTGTACTTAGTTGAAGAGAGAGAGAAAAAAAATTTTAATTAAAAAGAAGTTTCATTTGTGTATTAAAAAAATGTATAAAAAATATATATATATATATATATATATATATATATAAATCGAAGGAGTTCTGCTCTGTTGAGATTTATAATTTTCAGATATACGAGAATTTATATAATAAAATTGTAAAATACTGTATATACAACTAACTTCTCTCAACGTGAATTGAGTGTAGGATCTTTTTTTTTCTCTCTCTCTCTCTCTCTTTTTTTTGGAATCGTATATAGATAAACATGTATATATGGAGACGATATCGAT